CATTTGCCCGCGCAGTTCAGCGTCCACCGATGTCAATGTGCATATAATCTGTTCATACTTGCATTGTTGTGTACCCGGATTCGTTGGCCCATTCCTACCCGTTGCCCAGGATATTTTGAGCCGGACGGGTAGTAGATATTGTGCTTGTGATTGCAGCGGTCGGCCCACTCGTGGGATCGTAAGTCGTTCAAGCATCTTTTTGAATGGCGCAGACCCGAATGTGGCATATGCTTGTGTATGCTTCGACTGCTTCTGCAATTGCTATCTGCTACTGCTTGCAATTCAGACCCCGCTTTAAATTATCCTCAAGTCTTTGGTCAAACTTTTCAACTTCCTCGTTTCCCTGTGGATGACATCCCCTTATTCTCATGTGCATTATCTCACAGCGGCTGCATAAATTGCCCGCTTCTTCGCTCGATAGGGTGCCCAAACAGTTATGTGGTTGTTTTTGTGGATCGTATCTCGTGCTTCACACGCATTGAAATACTTTGGTCAGCAACTTTGCAAACGTCTCTTCCAGTCAGTGTATACAGATGCAATGCTTCTAGAAGGTGCTGCGCTTGTCCTTGATTATCTTGGTAGTCCAGTTATGTCCCAACCCACTTACTCGTTCGAACATGACAGTCATATCTGAGTTAACTCAGATACCTGAGGATTACTACGCTGTCTGGTACTACGCACCCCTGAACGTATAATTTTCTCTTGATTTCGCGTCCTGGTTTATAGCAAATAAATACGAAAATAAAATAAATCTTTCGGCTGTAACGTCTTATCGGTGCCTAGCAGCCATGCCACCAGAAGGAAGCACGAAGGCCGGGATACATCCGCCCAAGTCTAAGTCTAGACAAGGGAAGTCGAGAGTTAGAGGTCGGGCTCCAGCCACGGACCTTCTGGTCAGTAAATTCACGCTCTAGCCAACGAACCATCTCCTCCCATTCGCGCCCTAGCCAATGAGCCTGTTGATGGCTTATTGTCTCTCCATTGCGATGGCCATATGTGACTCATCTGTTTCAGTGTGAAATCCAGAAAGCCTAATGTCCCACCCCCTGACGTAGTTTCTTCAACCCTTGGCAAGCATTCATTTGAATTTCACCCTTTTTCCACACCGCGTGCAAATGGCTCAGCGTTGCGAAATTTCGGTAACATTCCACGAAACCAAGGAATCTTCCCACGGCTTTTAGTGATAGGACATGTACTAGTCGCTAGAAATTTGTTCTGACCTAAGGGACTCCGTTACACAGATAACATCCGACTGCACTTGACCGGATTTGCTTTCAGTCCTCTTTGCATTTTTTCAGCATGAATCTAAGGTGATTTGGGTGTGAGAGAAAACGGGAATACCATCCATGTATGCCGTACAGAAAAGTGGTGATGACACCAAAAATTTCGCTGATCGTACCCTAGAAAGTGGTCAGTTGTCTTTTCAGTCAGTAGCATCTCTGAGGAACCAGGTAGACGGGTCGGTATTCTGAAAGCGGTTTTTGGGTGTCTTCCTCCATTTAAACCCCCCAGACTCGAAATACACTCATGATATCTTCTTTTTGGGTGACCAGTTTGAAGAACTTCAATGCACGCTGGACAACCGAGCTCACTATAGACCATTGTAAGGTCATAAATCAATCCTTTTTTCGTTACCTATATGTATCACCCAATCTTGGTCGGGAAAAGATGAACCAGGTTACACCTAAAAATTTTGGTCCAACTATTTTACCCAACAGACAAGTGAAAGTTCATTGGATCCACTGCGCGAGACGCTTTTGTGAAAAAGAGCAAAAGTTAGTATATTCGCAAGATCTGGGCGGTCCTCCGGCCCTAATTTTAACCTGTAAGGCTTAACCTCCATGAGCAAAGAGTATTCGGAAGCCAAGTGTTCTTGACCACTGGTGTCTTGACGAATAATTAAAGTTCGTTGCTTAATGAGTGCATCCAAAGATGAGGCCAAAAAGTGCTGTACGCCAGGTTTTTCATGACGACGTGTACAATGGTCTCAACATCTATTGTGCAAGAACGATGCTGTAATCCCCAAAGTCAGCTTGACCCCTATCTCATGCCAGGGATACCGTTGTCGCTTTGGAGGCTAACTGGAAACGCCCTTTACTACGATCATAGATGAAATGGATCGACTTAGCCTTCACGCAATTTACGAACTCCGCCAGTGGTTGTGGTTTGTACAGATCTGGTAGCTGATCGCCACTTGTGAGCAGCCGCTGCCCCACACTTTTCCGAAGCTGACTCTAACTCAAGGTCGCTTAAAGGTGAAAGTCAACTGAGTGAGGACAGTAGCGGGATTCGCGGTGAACCGAACTCTGGCATTTGTGTTGTTCATCCTAGTTGTCTAAACCAATTTCCTCATTCTTCGTTACCATTCTGTTCTGATGCTCTGTTGTCCGACACTGACTTCTGATCCTAGCTTTCAGTATATAATTGCTCAACATCAGGCTAGTGGTTTGGTGGTATGTTTTAGGAGAAATTTCACCGACTCCTGAAAAGCTCAGTCACAGCTACTCTCGTCCTTTTTTTAGGGGCCGCCAGGTTGTTTCTCCCACGTCAATGCTTCCAACCAACGGTTCATAACCTACGTAAGGATGCCAGTTTTCAGATTATTTCGTACAGATGTCTGCCATAAGGTAACATTAAGCACGTAGGTTCTGTTTTGTTTGTGTGACTTGGGAGCTTGATGGAATTTATTCTATCACGTTTGATAGTCTAGTGCTTGAGTGTGAAAACCTCAATGAAGAAGGATACCAGATAAAGGTCGGCTACACCGCAGATGAACCAGTGGAATAAAAGTGCCGTGGCTCAGTTGGCTGCAGTAGAGAGAAAATGAAATATCTTTAGGACCGGACCGTCCTAACAGGTTCATTGGGGAAGAAACCCGGTTGACTCATCTACTGTATACTAGCCTTGGCAGTGCTTTTTCTTATACGGTTGACTTCCAAAAAGTCAGTTTTTCCTTACATCCGAAGATAGTATCCATGTTCTGTGGCGTTTGTGTGACGAGTACGTGTAATTTTGTACCCAATTGAGTTGAAACTTCAGTTAATCAGTCTTTCGAATCAAGGACTCATCTTAGGATAACTAGACTTACAGGGTCATCTACGGATACCACCACTGCCTGGTGTAACAGAAATGTTTGATGACCCAGAAGGGATGAAGAACCAATGGCTTGATGAATAACACAGGCAACTAAGCTCACATCCAAATTATTATTATTGTTTCCTGAACGTTCGTCACAAAAGCTACTTTTCAACAATGTACAGTTGGAGCTAGAGTATAGTGAAACTCGAAACCCTGATAGCCAATAGGCTGTGAGCAGATAGACTTCAAGTAATCATGTTTGTCTTGCCTGCTTGTTAGAGTTAATAGATCTCGGCTTTACATTTGTAGGAGCACTACAGATCCCCCTGCTTTGCAAGTTGATCGTACTGTTTACTCGAATCCCTTAGCTTTATGCATGATCTTCACGCTCTGTCTATTTTGGTGCAACTCATTCGCAATGTCTTTTCAACTCTGTAGGTGGGAGCGCCAGCGAGATATATCCACTGCTCTAGCCAATGGCATCAACGTGGTTGCCGATCGATACAGTTATTCTGGCATCGTCAACACTGCAGCAAAAATTACCCCTTTATCGAATGCAGATTGGGCGTGGTGCCGATCAACGGAATCTGGCCTATTGCCACCAAACTTAATATTCTGTCTGGCAGGTGAAAATCTTTCAGAAATTGCCGCGCGCGAGGGCTTTGGGCAAAAACCTTCAGAAACCACGTCATTCCAATCTCGAGTGCTAGCATATTATGCTCGTCTATGTCAGGAAATGGAGGCCGAACTCAATGAAGAAGGTAATGCAGGTGGTGATACAACTAACGGTACAGGCAGTGCACCCGATGTGCACACCCCTAAGTTGTGGAATTGGATTCAGGCCACTGGACAGACTGTGGACGATATACACACATGCATCATGACCATAATTGACCCTTTGCTGTAGTTGTCTAGACGATTCTTCATCTTAAAACCCGGTTCTGCTTCGCTTCATCCAACCTGTACACTTTTCGTGTTGTTACATTGATAATATTGATTCTGATGAACAGACCTTGAGACCAATAAACAATCTGGGTAAAAAGTGATCTTTTGTACATTCGTGGCACGACCATTGGGTGTTTCTCGAACTTCTTCGTTTGACTCATAAACCGAAATTCCACCCTAGAACAAGTCACCAACGCGCTCCGTTTTACGAATAAGCGAAGCAATTTTGTTCATACTAACCCACTTTCTCAGCCTTAGTATAATTAGTCATCAACGATGCCAGAAGCAAACCAATAAGAATACCACTTTCTAACGGAATACAAATGCGACGAATGTTCGAAAAGTAGTATTTCGAGTGAATCCAACGACCTTAACGAAAGCAACCAAGATGACCTTTTTCCCACCGAACTGCACTAAAAGTAACATACAGGCGATGTATTGAAGTAGAATGTCGTCAGTGGTACTTGGCCAGTATCATTGTGATTCCTAACAAACACAACCCCAGTGCCTGACAAACGAAATCCGTAGGAAGTAACAGTTATTCTTGTTGGACCTTTTCACACCCCGTTTATCGTTTGGGGGCGAGATGATCCAAGTGGTTAGAGCGCGAATTTACTGACCGGAAGGTCCGTGGTTCGAACCCGACCTCTGCCACTCGACGTCCCCTGTCTAGGCCTAGGCGACCTGGCAGTATCCCAGCCCTCGTGCTTCCTCCGGGTGGCATGGCAGCTAGGCACCGGAAGGGTGTTACAGCTGAACGATTATTTTATTATTATTGTTACGATTATTATTATTATTATCGTGTGAAGTCTAGTCACCATATAAGTGCTGGAATTAACGGTAGTCAGTACTATTGGGAGAAGGCTTGATGTCACGTACTTTGTCACTGGGCTGATCGCCCATAGGGTCGTAATTGCTTCTAACTGGACCGCACTGAAAAGTAAACAAGCAATCTGAGGAGCTCAAAATTACACCAGAAAGCTGGGTACACCGCTAACTGTGGTGTGGATATTGATGTCCACTCCCTTGTTCGGCCAAAATGAAGGGCGTTCGATCTTCAACCTTTTCGAAATGGGCACTGACTACGCGTTATGTCAACTTCGTCTCCTATAGTCGCAAATCACACGTGGAAGTTTCCCTTGAGTGCACCATGAGAGCCCCGACACGTACGCAATTGGTTGCTTGTGGCATGTCTGTCAGTGTTCGCGATGGACAGGTTACTGCCTTTTGTTAATATAACTTGAAAGTCAAATACTCTCTTGATAGTTCCGCTGACAGGAGGCTTTCAAACTCCAATCAAAATGAAAAGCCTACGAACGTTTTCAGCATTTTTGCCTCTTGCATTTCTTTGGGTCCACCAAGCTTCTCGGTTTGCGCTGACACTCAATTTCACCTGGCATTGGATGACGCGTCGGATTTATCTGTGATGGCGACCAGCAGTCTTGCCGTTCCTCCAGCCAAGCCTTGGTCCTTTGGGAGATTAAATATTAGGACGAGTTTGGCTGAATCGTACCGAAAAACGGTAGTCCAGCTTCTGAGTAGCACTGCGAACATGTGTTCCCGGTGGCATTTATTATCCGACCATCCGGTAGGCGATCGAGGAGCGGTTCCAAAGAATTCACTTGATTTTTGGGTTTACTGGCTTCTAACTGGCTAAGAGAGGTATGCACATTTTGCGTAGGTCTGAAATGCAGTAGTGAACCATGATCGGAATCCACGCTGGTATTCCAGAGGGAGCGACGGGTAGTGATCGACCCTCGCCACCTATATCTGACGGTAGTTTGGATAGTTCGTTGAGTACCACGTCGTCAAGCGGTTTTAGCTGTTCCGGAAATCGGTACCGCAAAGGAACAGTCTGTGGTTGGCGCACATCTGAAGTAGAGGATTTCAGTTGTCCATGCGTCTCATATCCAAAGCAAGACGACCACTGAAGTGGGTTTCAGCGGCGGTCGGTTTACCTCTTTGAGCGTCCATGTCACCAGCGACGAAAACAATGTTTGAGCTTTTATCCCTCATGAAAGAACACCTAGGGCATCAAAGAAACTGGATTTGGCAGATTCAGTTGAAGCGTGGGCAAATTCAATAAACAGGTTGTGACTGGTCTCATTTTGTCCGGATTCCTTTATGGACATTGCCTGAAGACCTGGCCAGAGGTGATTATCAACGGATGTCTGATCAAGTAGAGACGCTCCACCTCGGTTGCCCATCCCGGCATATCCAGCTACAGCGGCCTTCACATCACCAGAGGTACACAACCGGAACCTGGAAGAGAGTGAGGGAGCAATCATTTCAATCGCATCATTTGTATACTGTATCCTTGTTTCTGACAGGCATCGTACACCAGTGTAGCGGGAATCCGGTGAACGAACAAGAGCCGCTTGTTTTCCTGCTTGCTAAGGTGTGCGAACATTCGAGGCAGCTATGTAGGCCAGCTTCCGGGGTTTTGAAAACAGACTTCAGTGTGTTTAGGATTTTTACTGAGGTTGGACACAGAAGCTGCAGCTGACACGGCAGACAGAGCCGTCAGTCCTCTTGTTGGAATATGCGGAGAGGGTAAGGTAAAAGAGGAAAAAATTGAACGTGTATGAAGAGAAGCGTCAGTAGTAGCATGTTTCCACTTACCCGCCCTGCTGTACGCAGCAAGTAAGGCTACCCTGCTGGTGACACCATGTGACAACTGATGTGGCATTAGAGTGTTGTTAGCTGTATGTGTCGTGGTTGTGTAGGCTAGGATACTATCAAGGCGATCCCACAAGAGGACGATTGGGTCCTCGACCAAAGCATTGGTCTCAGAAGCCAGACTGCAAGGTAGTGGTGCATGGCTGGAAATGCAGGCGTATTGCCCAACATGTTCTCACCATTAACATGGCGAGCTGAGAAACTGTTGATCAGATCTCTAACCGTTGACCACCCTGGTATGAGAGACTCGCACGGACGCCCCCCCCCCAGTATAGCCAAATGGGTCCCAGAGGGGTNAGCCATACCACGTTAAGTTCCACAATCTTCGTGACGGGTGAATAATTCAACCAGAGTTGCCGATTCGACCCCAATGACATGTCATCTAATTCCAAAAGAGACGTTTTTATTGGCAACAGTAGCAAATATCACTTCGAACCCCAGCCGTGTGAAAAATTCCGGTTAACGACACCGTCCTCAAAATTCTCGCACCTACTTACCTTATTGGATCGTCGAATTAGTTCATTACTTCAGCAGTGTACGAAACAGATTAACTTAGGTTCGGTTTGAGGCAGCCCAGAGTTCGCATAGGGATCCACAGATTAAACACTGCAGCAGAAAGGGGTTGTTGTTCAACTTTAGACATGCGGATGTACGGACAAGACAGTAACCAATGGAGGCAGCGGTGGTATGCTGGAATCACACCAGTACCGAAATTTCCTACACAAAATGGTGTTACTTTTCCTCAGTTTTCCGGAATACTCACTTTCTGATATTACGTTTTCGGTAGGTCGATGATGTAACAAAGGTCCACTTCGCGGAGATTCTACCTGTAAGTGGAAGTCAATTTATGCTGAAACGCCGAGAAGCTCAGTGTTTCACTTACAGGACGAAATCTCCACAGCAGCCCAAATCTCCTCACACTACCAACACTGATTTACTTCGTTAAGGAAGGTTGTCCTCCACGTTATTCTATCGTTGACACATGCAGATCTGGATCTCTGCATCATTAAAAGAATTTAGCATCCCTAGGTGTAAGCATCGGATCGCCTAAAAGTAGGCTTGGAGGAAACACTGTATGAGAAGTTTGCTGTTCTGCTCCACAAAGAATCGGTTGAATTCGCAACCCATGTAGACATGCGAACATCTATTTCTGTTGATTCGATAATTTGGTAATTTACCAGTTGTCTGTGGTGTTTTGACGTATGCTATCCTGGAGAACCAATGGTTTGGTTTCTAAAGGCAACTTTTGGCTTTGTCGGTCCTCACACACAGTTGGCAGAACAAATGGACCATTTTCCAGTTAATAGCTATTAAAAGTTTTCATAGTTTGACTACAGTTTAGTTGTTCACACAAGTAGATCTATATACATGGTGCCACTCTTTGCAGAAATAAAAAGATTTATTGGCTCACCACTTATGATTCAACTGACTGCACTCAGAGTGTCTGTTATGAAATACATGTTTCATTCTGTCAGGCATCAATAAGTGTGCGCATGTGTATTCACGTTCATGCCCATTTTGGTCAGCCTCATGGTCAGCTAAACTACACAGACGCTGGGTCGTGTGTCAGCTACTTGTCATTTGTATTGAGGTTATACTCAAATTCCATGGCGTTCTGTGGAAAGGGGCAAAACCAATACACTCAATTGAAAATGTGTTTTTTTTTAAACAAAAGCGCCGACAACAAATGTTCGACGCAGTTTTTTTTTGTTAAGACTCCAACCGCCTAATCAGTAACTGTGTGGATCTTTTACGGTTACTAGCATCTTTGCTTCTGGTTCACACCAGTTTTATAATAAAAAAAACGTATATCAAAGGGCCATATCATTCGCTCTCAGTATGTTTAAAGATTACATCTTCCTCACTGAAATTTTTGAAAAGTGTCTACCGCACAATCTATTCATAGGCTTTCCAACTCCGAACTGAAGGGGTAAGTGAGGTCCTTTATCCTCTCTAGATAAAAATGAATAAAGTAGCCAATCAAGTGGCGATTCGACCCATCAACTACTGTGAGATCGCAGCCCAGCTCAGACTAGTGTATGCACAATGTTCGGTGGTGCCGTTCATACTGCGTAAAACCGCTCAGAATAAAATGACGAGTTAGCGAAATACACTTATTTGCAAGCAAATCTGGTTTTCCGAGAGATTCACTTGGAGCCCAGCTGAATCTCTCGCTTATGATGTCTCCGAGCAACTGAACGCGCTGCGCCAGGCTGCCTAATTTTTCAGTCGCTACGATAATCGAAATATCGCGATACATGTATACTCGTATTGCACTACTCATAAGGTTGCTGGGCTGTCGAAGAATTTTCAGCAACCTTACGAGTAGTGCACTACCACTATAAAACGAGTTTATTGTGTGGGGGTGTATTTACTTGAAGATAATTATGTAACCGGTCAGGGTGAAATAGGGCAGCCAAGATAATCAGCTGCTGTATGATCAATGTGTTGGGCGCTAATATGACACGCATGGGTCCTTAATACGACCTGATTAGCGGAAAAATGAAACATCAGTTCCCGTAAGTTTCGGGGATACGTGTACTATAATTCGTCCATGTTAGCGTAAAGCGCTCATGTATTGTAGGTACGAGTTATCAACTGTTGACATCCACATTGTTCTGACTAGTTTTTACTGACAAGTTGCAGGACTACAGTAGAGGCGTCGAATGTCTTTATAAGCATTCCTCCAACTGGTGCGCATCATGCAACACGTTTTATTGATTTTCGACGTGAGGATCGAATACGCTGGTTCAAAGTCTATTAACCGGAAGTTGGTGTTGCTGGATATTTTCTGCTCGGGAAAATGCATTGGTTTGTTTGCTAGATAGAAAACAATTAACATGCCAAAGAAAAGTTCGAGCAAGAGTAGCTCGCCAAAGAAGGGTTCCCCAAAGAAGGATAAACAGAAGAAAAGTCCATCAAAAAAGAAGTCACCAGATCTTGTTGACATACCAGCTGTTGTTTTGAAAAATGTCAAACGCAAATTAGTGTGGACAGGAGAAGGATGGCCAACATATAAATTTACGGAGTTTCGATGCCCAGTATGCCGCCTAGTCCTGAGCAGCTTCCCACAGTTTGTAGCGCATTTTTGCTGGAGAAAATATTACCAGGCACGCTTCCACCTGGGCGAAACGCAAGCATTCGCATGTCGTACGTGTAGTCAGGTGTTTTATTCTCATGCGGACTACGCTGCCCATGAGTGCAACGACCACAAGTTATGCTATACGAGGAAATATCGAGAAGTGGAAGAGGTTTTACCCATTGACTACCCCGACCATTTTGATTTCTACATTGCTTGGGCTCGGCGTACCGATTGGGAAAGTAAACCGCATGAACCAGACTGGCAGTTTTCAGTTCGTTGCAGTAAATGTAGCAGTAAATTCAAGACCAAAATAGATTACCTTTTGCACTCGTGTTTTCAGTTTGCATTATTGCCCCTTCCCGCTATCAGGCGCTTAAAAACGTGCATTGACTGTCACTATGTGTTTCTTAACGAACAACAGTACAACCTCCATCTGCCTTACTGCAGAGAGGATCGAGCATTCTGCGTCGATTTCTCTGTCACACTGACAGAATTAGCCTGTCAACAATTTGTGCTAGGTCGACACTGCTATGAATTTGATTATCACCTTCATCATGGCGCTGCCTTGGGGCAGCGGGAACCTGGTGAACCGCCTGGTGGGCCTCCAAGATCACCGCCTCCCCTACCCGCTGGACCACAAATTTCGGTAAATTGTTTTGAATGTGGCTTTGTGCAGCCTAACCTGGTGGAATATTTGTACCACCCGTGCGTTGCCGGCAGACTCATCAAACCATCAAATCTTGAGCTAATACTATTTTGCACAGAGTGCCATTGCCTATTTATCTGCATGGAGGACTGTGTGGAACACTGCAAGTCCTGTTCGTCACTAATTTTCACATTTGTTCGTCTGAATACTCCCGAACTGATCCGTCTAGCACTGAAACGCTGGACGCTGGAAGTGCTTTCCAATCCTTACCTTCCAGCCCGCCAGGTTAAATTTATGTGTGGCTGTTGTAAGGAGATATTCCGGTGGTTTGACATCTTCCTCGCTCATCCTTGTCCACGACGTGAGCGATACGAAAGAATTTTCTTACAACCCATGGCACTTCTGGAAACTTACACTTGCCATGCTTGTCATTTGGTGGTATTCTCCATCTCTGAGGCTGTCAGCCATTCAGCCAGCTGCAAATTGGGTCATTTACCAAAAATGATTCAGGTGCATTACACCATGGATGAAGTAGTTATTGCTCTCACACCATGGATGCGTGGACCACAACTGCTGGAGTTTGATATCAATGTTGGTCTGGGGGACTGGGAACAAGAGATGGCCTATCGTTCGGAAGAAAACAGAATCGCAAAAGGAATTCTCAGAGTTGGATGCCTCGGGAAGCACAAAGGCTCACAAAGCACATCTGTGAAAATTGCCAAATGGATGGAGGAGAGAATGAACAGACAGCAGCCTGTAGAAAACCAAGATGTTGGCCCAGAAGACAAATGTTGGCCTGTCTATCAGAAAAATCGTTTCATCAAAGCTCTCAGTGGTATTCAAATCAACCCTTACGCCTTACCTGAATCAAGACCAGCACGTGTTCACTGGCGCCAGAGAATCTGCTAAATATCTTTGAATAAGCCACCGAGCTGCACTGCTCCGCACTGCTGGTGATACACACCAACCAGTCCAAATGCTTTGACTAGGATCCTGATATGAAAGCACCTGTTAAGTTGCATTTCTGAAAGCAAAAGCGTCTATTCCACTTTGCTTTGTTCTGTTTTCCTTTCGATTTCTTCATATCTGGGCTGGCTCAATCAAATGACTGGGTGAAAATTATCGAAGAATGAAATAGCCTCACTACTTAGTTGTAAACGAATAGTCCAGACTGACATTATGTAAGGTGGCGTACAAAGACAGCGTATTCGCCAGTCCACGTCTTCCTGTGAATTCAAACAAAATCTATGGGCAGCTGGATCTCAGCAGAGTATGGTCGATCACAAAAACGTTGCGAAGACCAATAACAGCGGCAGACAGTCTTCGCTTGTTGACTCATTATACAGTGATACTAATCACGTGGGAATTTAAAATCCCCAGTTGACAAGTTCATCATCATCATCATCATCATCATCATCACATCATCATCATCATCATTAACAGATGTAAGAACCGCGTACTTGTCGTACAGGGGTTATATCTGCCACAATTTCGTCAATGGATGATTTGAGGGGGTGAAGTAGGTAGCTGTGCATTGGAGGTGGGAGCTGATAAACTGGTAAGTACAGGTCTGTCAGTGGAGTTTTAATTGGGGAGTTGGGGAAAGGAGCTATGCATTGAAGGCAATAGCTTGGACGCAAGAGTACCATTAAGGCCACGATTGTGTCATGTCTGACAATGTCTCTAATCATTGATATGGCCCGTCTCGGGGTCCCCATCCAGGAAGACGGCAATGACCAGCGCAGCTGAGTTTGCCACTAATGGCTTTTACTCTTCGCTGTCAAGTAACTATTTGACTTTCCCTGGCTCGTTTCCAACCGTCCATTCGAGGATGTCGGTCAGCTGGCTTCTGAAGTAAGATGCATCGACATCACTTACTCTAGGTGCCAGTATCTAATGGGTACGGATTGCATAGTTTTGTCCGGCTCGCATGGAAAAATAGGTTGTTGATGCTTTTTGTAGGAAGTCCACATTCAGTGTACCTAGGATCCCAACGAAATAATTGGAATGGGCAGATGGACAGAGTTACAAAACAGTAGGCTTTGAACTGTTTAACTACTTTGGAAGCTTATTTCCAATGTCCAGGATTACAGCGCCCTAAAACCTAGAACCAAAATTCTTGGTATAACTCACGAGGCTTCAACACTGGAAGTTTAACGATTCCACCCAAGAACAAATGGGTTATGAGACGATGATTGATTTGATGCTTGGCCTTTCTAAGGAGTAGCTTCCTAATCCGTCCGCAGTAACCCAGCCCTCCCAATAGCAATTCAGTAGGACTAAACGAGCACATGCGGCGAGCTCTACTTTACCAAACAAACAACAAAATAATAAGTCGTTCAGCTGCAATGCTCTTTTGACGCCCAGCTGCCATGCCACCAGAGGGAAGTACGAGGGTTGGACTACTGCCAGGTTTCCCAAACCTAAGCAAGGGAAGTCGAGATGCAGATGTTGGATTCGAACCACGGAAATTCCGGTCAGTAAATTCGCGCTCCCACCACTGAGCTATCTCGCTCCACTTTGCTACACAGAAACGGTTCGAGTCACATGGTACAAATGTTGGTCAGTAGCAAAGACCGTCGACCAGTTTTACGCTAATTACAACCTGGTCACCGGTTATACTACTGATTTTTTGTAGTGCAAAATTTTCTGATGATGATCCCTGAGACAGAGGTGAATAGAACATTCCGAGGAAAGGTAAGAAGTGCACTTCAACTTTTCATGTTTCGTGGGACACTTGTTATTCTTGCGCGTGTGCTGTCGACGGATTTTCAGCAACCTTATGAGTAGTACATTACAAAGGTATACATGTATCGCGATATTTCAAATATCGTAGCGACTGAAACATGAGGCGACCTGGTGCAGCACATTCAGTTGCCTGAGAACATCGTAAACGAGAGATTCAGCTGGGTTCTAGGTGAGTCTCTCTCGAAAAAAAAACCAAATTAGTTTGCAAATTAGTGTATATTCGCTAATTTCGTGCAATTTGGTTACAAGTCAAACATAAGGTTGACGAAAACCCGGGAACTGCGCTTACCTGATGAGCCTCAAAAAGGGCGAAACCGGTCGTGGGCTGTCGACGAATTTTCAGCAACCTTATGGGTAGTACATTACCTTTCAACGCAATTTGACAGCCTGTTGTTTCAGCTCTCAATAAGCTTGGTCGCAGCGTTTGAAAGGCAAATTTGCTTAGAATAGCAGTGATCGAACGCGCTGGTGTGGAATACACCCATCGGATTGTTCAATTTTTGGTATAATTCTTTCCGAGACGAGATTTGCGGTACTGAAAACTGAGTTGTTGGATAGGCGAGTTCTTATTTCGAACACCTAGTTTTCTAGATGAATCACAAAACGGATGAAACCGGAGTTGTCCAGGAGTTCCCATTCACTTTATGGCTTGAGTCCTGAATGTCATTCTAAGTCAAACTTGAGGGAATTTGTGCTGCGCATGCAATTTAAGAATCTAATGAACGGGCAGTTCAACTGCGAACCAGCTGAGTCTCGCACCAGTTGTAAATGAGTGGTTATCAGCATATGCGTCCAATTTGGTTTTCGCGCATGAATTAGGGTTGATGGAAATTTAAGCCAAATGTGATGAGCCGTAAAACGGACGAGACTGGTACTGTGCTGGCAGTGAGTTTTCGTACACCTTGTAACTAAGGCTGCATTGCCGAGAGCAGCCGACATTTTCAAAACCATCACGCCATGAGCAAATGCCCATGCTTTTCAAATCTTGATGGAGACGATCTAACAAATGAAGCTGCCAGTAAACTCATTTGGGAGACTGGAGGCCACCAATACTAATGCACCCAGGTCAGACTCACAGTCTTTAATACAGCCAGTTATTATACAGAGTGTGAGTATGATGACGTTCATAAACTGATAGCTGTAGCGCTATGAAAGACTCAGTACATTGGAAGCTTCAGTGTTAGAAGAAGTCCAAAGGAAACAGGCTAAATAGAGGGAAACAATCATGCATCTTTCGGGCTCTGCAGAATCCGTCAGTGGGAACCACGAAAGGTTCTTTTACTGACTTTAATTTCTTCGACAAGGAAATGCTACACAAACGCGGAATAGGATGAGCCCAAGTTAAACGCAAATGAAAACGTGAGTTGACAGCGTTGCCGATATCATCAGTGATATCGGTAGGAATATCTCATAACTGAAAGTTCGTACTAAACTGTCATGCACCTATGAGGGAGAGATGATCCGGTAAGAAGTGAAAAAGAGACCAGTGGAGGCACAATACAAACTCTGAGTGACTGCTGAAAACAGACACTATTTTACCATCTGACATCTATGTGTGTTCACCTACCGTTGTCAGTGATGAACCTACAAATGCAACTTTCGACGTGCATCCGGGTTGGGATTAGTCACACTCTTACATGCGTATTTATTCTTCCTGGTTCAATATGTAGATAAAAAAAGGCCTAATACAACACCAGTTTGTGAAATTCTCCCCGTGGATCTGCCTAAGTAACAGGACTCCAGCAAGGCAAATTTGCACTCAGAATGGCGCAACAGTAGGGTGAAACGACTCAGCAACTACAAAGTTTGTTGAACAAGTATAGGGATTCCCACATGGGCGCAACACCGGAGAATGTCCGGCGTACTCAGCTATTTTCGTCTGACTTGTTTTGCCACAGAAATTATCCGAATTTCAATAACGGCTGGTCTAAATGCACTGTAGTAGCCAATAAATCGAGCAAAGGGATGGTGACATTTCCAGAGAGTAGTCTGGACTTCACATGGCGTCTGTTTGATGAGAACATCGGTATTTGACAAGAGACACCTAATGTATTGGAGAAGTCCTATTGAATGGATGATACAAAATGGGAAAAGAATTATTAAACCCTCCTATGACATTTCGTTCCGGTGTAACAGTGTATGCTACTGATGAGGCTTCCGAGTAATATGTTTTCTCATAACTCAGTCCATTGGAAAGTGGGATTTATTACGGAATTTGTGAAATTGCTTTGTAGCATTCGTTTGCATTTGAGTGATAGTCAATGAATATTCAGGAAAGTCCAGAAAGACGCGTTCAAGAAGGAGACGGATATTCAGTCTTTATAAACAAAATGCATACGATAGTTTTGCTTTCCTATCCAATAGTCTGTAACTGTTCAGTTTGTGTTTTCTAAAAACTAACTCCGCAGCGAAGGCCTTCTTCCTTTCACCGGTATTGAAACATATGATCCAATATCGGTGAATCAAATCAGAATCTACTTAGGCTAGTCTAAGTCTTGTTCGTTGCACCAAAGCGAAGCATTTGACTAATAGGATGAAATTGATAATGTCAGCACCGCTTAGGCAAACTTTATTTCTTTTTAAGTTGCTCTGGGCAACGTTCCAAAACGGGTACCGACCGGTCCATAAAATCTTGATTGGTCATCCCGTGGCTGGTACCTTTACTCAACTAGGAGCTTGAGCCCCATACACATGGTCTCAGAGGCATTAGCCAGTGCCATTTTCCACAGCAATAAGCGCTTAGAAATAATTTCGACACTGATAATTTCAGAACTGGGAAGCTGAGCGTCTTGTCCGTCCCAATGACGTATTGGCTTACGCGGTAGAGAATTTCAGTACCTTTCACCTAAGCTATTCAGGTCCATTGCCTCCTTTGGATATCAGGTGAAAGCTGGTTAGCCTATGAGATGGTGGGGTATATAGGGATTAAAAAAAGGCCACGGAAGTTTGACATGGGGTGCTTGTTGTGCCCTCTGAATAGCGGACTTCCTTCAGATGGTTAGTACCGTACATGGTTGTGTAGCCATGTTTTCCTCACATTATCTCAGTCCAGTAAAGTGAGACGAATCTAATGCATCATTGTTCTTGAGTCAAGTAGATCGAAATAGGTATGCTGACAGTCATCATTCGCCACCCAGCGACCGATCAGTGGGAACATTTGG